CCTCTGTCCCTCTGTCCCTGTCCGGGGGATCAGGGGCCGGGGTCCCGGGGGGAGATGAAGGCGCCATAGAGGCCCGAGCCCCCCCAGCGCCTTCGCTGTGGTGACGATGGGGACGGTGACCCCCGGACCCCCCTCCTGGATCCCCCCGAGCCCCCATCCCCGCGGGACCCTCCGCGGCTCCCGGCTCCGTGCGCGGCCGGCCGGCGGTGACCGGCGGCGGGTAATTAATGAGCCCGTTAATCACCGCTAGCGGGGTAATGAGGGGCTCCCCGGAGCCCGGCTGCCACCGAGCGGGGAGGGGCACGGGGACGGGGACAGGGACGGTGACAAGGACAGGGACAGGAACAAGGACAGGGATGGGGATGAGTTTGGGGACAGGGTCAGGGACGGGGACAGGGACGGGGACGGTGACAGGGACAAGGACAGGGACAGGGACAGGGACAGAGATGGGTTTGGGGACAGGGGTTTTGACGGAGACAGGGACTGGGATGGGGATGGGTTTGGGGACAGGGTCAGGCGAGCGGGGAGCGAGATCTGGAGCCGGGCCGGGTCCCCACAGCCCCCCGGCCGACCCCATGGGACCCCTGCGAACCGGGCTCTCTGTGCCCCACGCCATCCCCCGGGGGGACAGACCCCCAGGGCCGCAGCCCCTGCTCCGCTGGGACCCCCAGCCCCGTTAGGGACCCCCCAGCCCCACTGGGGACCCCCAGCTCCGTTAGGGACCCCCCAGCCCCACTGGGGACCCCAGCCCTGTGCGTGGGCGGTCCCACAGTAGAGCCGGACCAATGAGCGGCTGTGACGCCTCAAGGGGGCGGGACCAAACGAGGCACCAACCAATAGCCTGTCAGGGTGGGTGTGGTCGGTGGATGACGTCACAGGGCGTGGCAGCCCCGCCCAGTCCGGCGGGGTTTGGGGGGTCTGGTCTGATTGAGGGGTCCCAGCGCTCCCTGCGGGCGAGGCCGAGCGGTGTCACCGCGCCAGGGACAGGGACAGGGACAGCGCCCGTGAATCACCCGCTCTGCCGTGAAATCGAAACCCCCGCACCCCCGGGCCGGGGGCTGCTGCGACCCCCCAGGGGCAGGGAGGGCTAAGAGGGGGTCCCAGCCCGGCTCCAGCTCTCGCCTCCCACTCTCCTGTCCTTGTCCCTGTCCCCGCTCCCCCTCGGTGACACGCGGCTCCTCTCCCCCCTCAAACCCAGCTCGATGTGACACAAAATTTGGGTTTATTCACCGACACCCCCAAACCCCGCAGCACCCCCGGGTGGGCAGGGGGGCTGGGAGGGGCAGGACCCCCTGAGGACCCCCCGTGTCCCTCGGGTGTCACCGCCTGATGTCCCTTAGGGGTCCCAGTCTGATGTCCCCAGGTGTCCCAGTCTGATGTCCCCAGTGTCACAGTCTGATGTCCCCCAGGTGTCCCAGTCTGATGTCCCCAGGTGTCCCAGGCTGATGTCCCCAGTGTCACAGGTTGACACCCATCAGGTTCACCGGCCGTCCCCCGTAGCGCTTGGAGATGTCAGCCTCGATCTGCAACGGCACCGGGAGGGCTCAGGGGGGCTCAGGGGGCTCGGGGGGCTGCAGGGGGGCTGCAGGGGGCTGCAGGGGTCCCCCGTCCCTCACCAGCCGCTGCAGCTCCCTGGTGCTCTCCTGCAGCTGCTGCAGCCGCGGCTCCAGCGCCGCCTGCTCGGCCAGGGCCTGGCGGCGCCGCTGCCCCAGCGCGTCCCTCTTGGCCAGCTGCAGCTCGGCCTGCAGCAGCTGCTGCCGCAGCAGGGCTGTCACCCGCTCCACGTACCTGGGGACACGGACAGGGACACGCTGCAGGGCAGGGACAGCGACAGGGACAGGGACGGGGACAGGGACAGTGACAGGGACGGGGACAGGGACACGCTGCAGGGCAGGGACAGCGGGGACACCTGAATCACCCTGCACGGCCCCCCTGGTTAAGGGCTAGTTTTGGGGCTATTTTAGGGCTGTTTTGGGGGCTTCTTTAGAGCTATCTTAGGGATTATTTCAGGGGCTGGTTGGGGCTGATTTAGGGCTAATTTAGGGGCTATTTTAGGGGTTGTTTTAGGGTTTTTAGGGGCTATTTTAGGGCTATTTCAGGGGTTGTTTTAGGGCTCTTTTAGGGGCTATTTTAGGGGTTGTTTTAGGGTTTTTAGGGGCTATTTAGGGCTGGTTTTAGGGCTATTTTAGGGCTATTTCAAGGTTTTTTTTAGGGTATTTTAGGGCTATTTTCGGGTCTGTTTTAGGGCTATTTTCGGGTCTGTTTTAGGGCTATTTTTAGGTCTGTTTTGGGGCAGCTCGGCCCCGTTTGGGCAGCCCAGGCACCTGGGCGAGGCGAGGATCATGCAGAGGTGCTGCACGCTGCGGGAGCACAGCTGGGCCAGCAGCTCCCGCGCCGTGGCCAGCCGGGCCCGCAGCCGCGCGCCGCTCTGGCCCTGCAGCGCCGCCGGGGCCGCCTGCAGCTGGCTCATGGCCACCACGTCCGCCTCGTCCTCCAGCTCCAGCAGCCGCTGCGCCAGGAACAGCTCCAGCTGTGGGGACAGCGCAGGGTCACCCACGGGGA